TATGCGTGGACACGAACATTCATTCTATTAATGAAACGATCGTCCCAATACTTCGTATGATAATGGGCGCCAAAACACACAATCGCTTTAATACCTCATATGGTATGAACATAATTAAAACGATTCCCAACCGCTTCTAGTAAAGGACTTCTCAGCCCCGTACGACTGAGAGTAACGTCCATGGTAGGATTCACCCTATGCACCAAGTTCATACACTCTTTCCCAAGACATCTCGTAAGCCCATTTCATTCAACACCATTAATTCATGCATATCTTTTCTTTTATTTACTATTTATCTTTAAGAGACACGTATATCTGTATCCCAATAATACATGAGTAATGAATTCATATTATAGGGTACATACATAAAATAAGCATACATTATACCGACATAAACGTATTATACACACAATAGAGTGACATAACAATATATATAGAGAGACCTTACCATGTTCGCCATAGAATTTAAAACAAATATATTAAAGTAAGTAGTATGGTGAATAAAATAGTATAATAAACAACTGAATAAATAATTACTGCAATTAAAACTCAAATAGGCACAAACTGACCGGTTACTTGCTTCATTGGTAGCCTGTATTTTAATCAATTAGAGGACCACATATTAACTAAATTTTTCATTTATTATCATTTTATTTTTAATTTTACCGTAACAAGAAAAAAAGTGAGAGATTCTTACACTTGGTCAGTTTTCATAACATCACCTTTTTTATTATGCTTCCCGACGGTTCTCGATTCTTGAATTTCTTGGATTTTCCTGCTAAGATTGAAACGTACGTCAAAATAGCGTGAAAATATGCAAGAAACAGTCAAAAAGACAAAAAATCTTACCGAAGGGTCGTGCTCTGTCACCGGGTCCTCCTTATCCGGCGGCTGTTCATCTCAGTCAGGTCGTTTTCAGCCGGTTCTCAATAAAAACCTGTTTAATTTATGATTATGAGGTGTCTATCGGCGAAAAAAGGAAAAAAATCGAAGCTTATCGGTGGTTTCAGCTTTCTGGTGCGGTGGCTCAGCCGGGTTTTGCCATCCCAACCTCACGGTTTACGATTTTTTTGGTCATCCTGCATTAGAAACATGTTGGATGACTAAAGGGCGAGGAAAATAGAATGAACGAAAAGAGGATACGGCTTACTAGAGCGTTTTTCGATCTCTGGTGCGGTGACTTAGCCGAGCTCCACCGTTCCTCCATCGTGGTTTGTGGCTTTTCTCAGTTATCTTGTATTGAAAACACGTTAGACGACTAAGGGCAGAAAAATGGAGAAAATTGAAAGAAAAATTGCAAACACTGGTGTGTTTTGGGTCTTCGGTGCGGCGACACTGGTGACTGGGTTTCTCCTCCAACCACCTTTATTCTTCTTTTTTGGCGAGTGGGTGTCGGCTAAGGTTAGA